ATATTTATTATAAAATCTTTTAATAATTTTAATAATATTTATAATAAAAAAAGAAAGGCAACTTATATTAATTTAAATTTTAATATTAATAAAAAGACTTATTTAATTAAAGTTATTTATTATTTATTAATTAATAACTTATTATTTAATATTTTATTTTTAAAATTATTTAAAAATTTAATATAATATTTAAATAAATAAATAATTAATAATATTTATATAATATATAAATTTAATATTTAAGCTAATTTATTATAAAAATATACTTAAGTTATATTATTAAAAACTATATTATTTCTTATTTCTTTAATATAATAAAGCTATTATTAAAATTAAAGAAATAATATAAAAATAAAAAAATAATAATAAAGGAATATTTATTTAATTAAATATATAAACTTTAATTAATTTTATAAGTTATTTAAGGGTTATTATAAATTTTATTAATAAGAAATTTAAATTAAATTATTATTTAATAAGTATTATTTATTTATTTATATATTTATTTATTTATTAATTAATTAATTAATATATTAATTATTAAATTTATTATTTTAAGGTTTAAGTTTCTTAATAATACTTATTATAGCTTATATATATATAAAGTTTTATATAATAAAATTTTAATTCCCTTAAAAATATTATTATTAATAATTAATAAATATATAATATATAAAATTTATTTAATATTTAATAAAATAAATTAAAATATTAATTTATCTTAATATTATATAAGATAATAAAAGAAATAATAATATGTTTTTAAATAAGTTTAATACTGCTTATTATTTAAAAGAAAGTAATAATTTTAAGTATAATATATAATATATTATTTATATAATAAACTTAGCTATAAAGGTTATTATTACTTCTTTTAATACTTTTATTATTAATAATAAAGAATTAAAAGAAATAAAATTATTATTTATATTTTTAAAATTAGCAGAAAACTTTTTAAAATTAAGTAAAAGGGAAAAAAATTAAATATTTAAAAAACTATTAAGTATTTATTAAATCTTTATATTTAAGTTTTATTTTATATTAATATTAATAATTTCTCTTAATAAAGTTACTTAATAAAGTTTAATAAATAGCTATTATTATTAAATATAATAAAGGAATTAAAAAAAGATAATTAAAAATATTATAAGAATTTAAAATAAAAAAAGAATTATTATAAGATAAAAATAAAATATTAATTTTATTAAGTATTTATAAGTTATAATATAATCTTTTATTTTAATTAATTATTAATATAACTTATTAAATATTAATATTAAATAAAATTTAATTTTAAAAATAATATAAATAGCATTAAATTTTAAAGAACTTATAAATTAATTAATTTAAGATTTTAATTATAATTTATTAAAAGAAATTAAAATTAAATTATTTAATTAAATATAATTAATTAATTTAAAAGATATTTTATATACTTTTTATATATTAATTATTTTACTTTAAAATTAATAATATCTTATATTAAATATTATTTTTTCTTTATTAAAGAAAATATATATAACTTTATTAAATTTTAAATAACTTTATAGAGATAAATTAAATTAAGAAATAAAAAATAAAGTAAGTTTAATAATTTTATTATTTAACCTTATATTAATTATTAAAGTTTATTTATATTAATTATTTATTAAATTTATTTATACCCTTTTGCTAAAAGCTTTATTATAGCTATTTTTATAAAATTAAATAAATTAAATTAATATTATTTAAATAACTTTAAATTTAAAGATAACGATATTATTATATATAAACCTTATTTATTTATTATATTATTTAACCCTTAATTTATATATAAATACTTTAAAAAAGCTTAATTTATTTAATTATTAAATAAATATATTAAAATCTTTAATAATTAAAGAAGCTATTATATAAGCTTTTACTTTTTAAATAAATAAAGAAATTAATAAATTAATTTAATTAATTATAATTAAGTTATATATAAAAATATATAAAAATAAGGAAAAAGAACTTAAAGTATTAATTATATTAAATAAAAATAATATATATATTAATTTAAATATTATATTAATAAAAACTTTATTAAAGAAACTTATTAAAAATAAATAAGAAATAAATATATTTAAATTTTTATTTCTTAATACTTTTAATAAAGATATAAAAAGAAATATTAAAAATAAAATTAAAGATTATTTTAAAAAAGGATTAAAACCTTATATTATAAGTTAAAATTAAAGATTAATTATTAATTATTAATATATTAATTTTTATATTAAATAAATATATTTAAATAATGGGAATTAAATAAATTAACTTATTTAATCTTATTTATATTAATAATTAAATATTTAATTATATTTGCTATATTAGCTATTATTAAAGCAAATTTTAATAAAGGAATAAATATAATAATTAAATAATATATAAATTTATAAAATATTACTTAAAAATAAGTATTAATATTAAAATATATTATTATTAATTTGAAAAAAGAAAATAAATTACTTAAAATTAAAAAATATATGGATTTAAAAGTTATATTAAATAAAGATTTATTAAAAATTAATATAAGTAAAGGAAAAGGTTTAAAAAAATAAAAATAATAATATTAATTTAAGTATATAAATTTATTAATTATATATTAAAGTTAAATCCTATAAAGAAAAGTTTTTTTAATTAATATTAAGCTTAAATATATAATTTAACCTTTTAAAATAATAACTTATTTTACCTTTATATATATAATTTTCTTTTATATTTTTATAAAAATATATAAAAAAGGTTTTTAGCTAAAATAATTAAGAATGTTTCTTTTAATAAATACTTATATAAGGGCATTTATATAAGATATATATATATATATAATATTATAATTTATATATTTATATAAATCTACATCTTTATTTATTATATATATTTTAAATAATATATTTTAAAATATTAATAAATAAACTTTTTAAAACCTTTATTATAACTTTATAAAGCTTTATTTTTTTTAAAAAAAAATTATTAATTATTAAATAATTTATTATTAAATTTATTTAATTCTTAAAATTATAATAATTATAAATTTATAATCCTTAAATTTAGCTTTATTTTATTAAACTTATTATAAGCTTAATTAAACTTTAAATTATTAAAATATTATATTATATATTAATATTATATTAATATTAATATAAAGGTTTATAATATAAATATAAATATAAATATAAATATATAATATAAAGCCTTTAATAATATAAATATAAATATAAATATAGTATTACAAATATAAATACAAATATAATATTATGTATTAATATAAATACATAATACAAATACACTAATACTGTCACAACTTTGGCTGCAGCCCAAAGGGCTCCTTTAGAGCCTTCCTTCCTTTCTTCCTCTTTTTTCCTTTTTAGGCCAGCATACTCTTTAAATCCACATAATTTGGTGCACATTTCGAGCCCTCGTGCCGTGAAGCCCAAGTGACGTCTCAGCTTAATTATTTTTAAACTTAATTTTTTATGTTTTTTTAAAAAAAATTAAATAAGTATTTATTTATACTTTTATAATAAATTTTAATTTTAATTTCTTAAATTATTCTTTATTTATTAAAAAGTTTTAAAAAATAAAATTAAGATAATTAATAAAAATATTTCTTATATTTTTATAATATTTTTTTTAAAATATATTATATTTTATAAAAAAAATTAAAAATTAAAATTTAATTTTCCTTTAAATTTAATATTTAATTTATATTAAAATTATTTATTAAAAAGATAATATAATTATAAAATATTTAAAAGGCGTTTTTTTATATATTATAATATTAATCCCTTTATTTTAAATTTCTCATATTTTAATTTTAAATATCCTTTTAACGCATTTATTCCACATTATTATATTAATTACATAAATTATTAAGAAAGCTTAGGCCCTTAAAACGGGCGTATTAAATGGACACTTAAACTTTTGAGATAAGTTAATAGGAGGGGATGGCGGTAGCCGAAAAACAGTAGCATCGTGATACTCAAACCGGGCGCACCCGAGACAACGTTGAACTTTTTAAAAATTGAATTTTTTTGGTAATTCTCGAATAGAACTCGGGCTAACCTGAAGCCGCTGTGGCCGGTGGCTAGTTATCCCAGAGATCTTAACAAGCATTGTCCACTGAGTCTTCCATTCACCCCGTGAACGGATTTCATGTGGTGCTCTTGAGCGCCAGACACGCATGCAAGTGAATGTTGGCATTCCTACCAAACTTGTTCTGAATTCTCATGCTCAGCGGATCACTTTGACTAGTCCTACTAGCGCTTCCCCGTTCTTCCACGTTTCCATACATCTCTGTGTTGAATGTTGTACCAGTTCAATGAGAATTTTAGAATATCAGAAACAGTATAGTCATGTTTGAGGACTTTCGGTGCGCTTGGGCCTGAGCAAGTTGTGATTAGCAAATATGCATGGAGTGTACAACATGCGAGGAAAGTATTCAAGCACCGATATGTCCACATCAGTAGCGTGGCCAGACAGGGCCAAAATCAGATCTTAACAGATGATGGTCAGACAAACCTGACTAATGCACTACAGCTGTCGCGTATTCGGTTGAAACAATGTGATCAGGCCAACATATTGATTCTGGCTGCGATGAGTACGGTAGGCCTTAAACTGCGAGCCATTACCCAAGAGTCTGGTGCCGTGCGATTTTCTAAAAAGGCGGATCTCATGATTTGGACACGTCAAATTACTCATGACTATATATGCATGCACGGGTACTAATGCCTTCCAGTTGCTGAGTATCAAAAGGTATATGATTAAATGCTTGAATCTTCTATGCGATGCAATTCTTTGGCCGCTTCTTTTCCTTAAGCATGCCTTCCCCATTGTGCTGTTTGCCTACGGCTCCCCGAGACGCCTTTGTAATTTCACAGATTCAGTGCCATCCAAAGCAACTGACCCACTGTTATTGAACGCCTTCCCTTTCCCTGTAAACGAAAATGCTGATCACTATGCCATCAGAGGACTTCCACACTCTACTGCCACATGGGCCGTTGCGATTGTCCGCCCCTTGAGGACATGACCAGCATCTCGAAACCCTCCACTCTTTTTCTCAATGATGAGTTCTCCTTGGCCAAAGACCGATTCTTCCTCTCCAGGTGGGCAATGTACTCGGTGGCCTTGCTCAAGATTGTGGCCTTGTTGAGCTTGTGTGCGGGCGTCACCCCGCCGAGGTCGTCCTCGATGTCCAGCCCCGCTTCGGCCTTGATCTCGTCCATTATATTTGTCGAGTTGTTGACCTCATCGTCTGCGTGCTCCAGCCTGTGCACCATTACCCGTAGAGCTGGGACGCTATCCCGCAGAGCAGCGATCTTGTCGTTCAGGTTGGTCCGGTATCGCTTCTCGATCATGTTGTGTGCTGTCTTCTTGGGACCGAGGGCAGGCTTGGAGACTGTAGTTGAAGGTGACTCCTCTTTGGTGGACGGCGCGGTGTGGCGACGCTGAGGGGGAGGTGGCGAGCAGGATGAACGGGGTGACGAGGGCGAGGACGCATCATCATCCGACGACGACTTCCTCTTGAGGTTTGCGCGAGCAGGATACCTCCTTTGCTGGTTTGCTTGTGTGGGTTCTGGGGGTGTAGGAAGGCCAGTGTTAGGGGCCTGGGCAGGGACCGAGGATGGTTGGCGCTGAGGCATGGCGAGGTTCATCTGTGGGGACTGGAACAAAGGCCTTGTGTCGTTGACTCCCTCACTACCAAACTGCACAACGTCGTCCAGCCCGGGGTTGGAAGCATCCATGTGGCTCAGGTCCGGGCTCATGACAGGGATCGACGAAAGGTCGGGGCTGTCAAGGAGCTCACTCTTGAGGAAGAAGTCGGAGTCGGGGGAATGCTCGAGCTTGTCCCAAGAGGTCCACTCGTCCCCGGTGGTGAAGGAGGAGGCGAAGCCAGGGAATATGGGCGAGACGGGTGATGCAGATCCCGGAGAGGGCGCCGAGTCGGTGGTGAGCTCAGCGGCACTCCAGTCCTCTATCGAGTTGTAGAGGGGGAGGTTGAAGTTTGTCTGGGTGTTCTATGTAGATGAGGCAAGATGTCAGAGAGCCTGGCCGTATCAAGTGACGGGATGCAGAACTGAGACGAGGCGTGACGAGGGGCATGATATAGCAAGAGAAGGGTAGTGTCCCAACAGCAGCGGGAGGATGGCTTGACAGGCCCGAGTGGGTCTGCGGGTCCGAAACAGCAGCAGGAAAGCATGCTTCACAGGTCCGCTGATGCCAGCAACAGCAGACCATGGAGGAATAATTCAAGCGAGGAATGAGCTTGATGGAGGAGGGGTAAAGCGAAAGAGGGCAGGGTGGACCGCGAGGGCCCGGGCTTGGGAGCCAGAACTGACCTGTTGTCGTTTGATAGTGGAAGGCTGGGGTTGAGGGTACGTGCCGAACAGCAAGGATTGTTGGCTGACACCTGCTAGGTCCGATATATCGAAATTGTCCATTTGATTGGTCGACCTGGGAGGGTATATGCCCAGGTGGTGATGCGAGCTGGTATGGGTATGTACTGATTTCCGCTCTGGGTCGGTGGCGTTCTAGAGACTTCTTTCTGCTGGCCCAAGCCCACGGGAAGAAGACGACAGGGGGGTGGCGTGTGTGTGTCGATGTTGGTATCGAATGGTTGTATTGTAGGATGTTGGGTGATCGATGCCGGCTGGAGTCTA